GCTCAACACGACCATCTGGCAAGTACTTAACGGTATAACACCCACTTACAACCGACAGCCTGCTTCCCAGGAGGAAGAGCGGTGAGGTCCCAAGTGTGATTATGATGGAGGGAAGAGAGCTCTTCTTCCATAGCACGACACCACTCTGGAGAGGTAAGGGCTTCCTGGACATTCTTAGGAACAACCACTGAGGATAACAAAGAGTTGAATTGGCGATGGGAGGCGGAGAGGTGAGTAAGGGAAACAAAATTGGAAATAGGGTGAAGGGTGCAGGTGCGTTTACCTTTCCGTAAAGCAATAGGAAGATCAAAGTCAGAGGCTGGTGTTGGATCTGGAGCTGGATCTGTCGACGGTGATGAAGTCAGAGGAGTCGCAGCCGGTACACGTGGGCGATGTGTATACACGTGACGGATAGGTGGACGGTCAACGGACGGTGGCACCGGAGGCAAGGACGTAGGCATGACTGGAACCAGAGGAGGAGGATCAGCCACAGGAAGGGGAAGAGGAGGAGGTGATATGGAGGAAGCAGCATCACCGGACCCCACGAAGAGCGGAGTAGACTCGAAGAAAGTAACATCAGCACATACCAAGGAACAACGAGAACTGGGATGGTAACACTTGTCCCTTTCTGAGTTCGGGAATAGCCAAGGAAGATACACTTAAGGGATCGTGCATCTAACTTGTCAGTCCCGGGGCCCAGATTATGGACGAAGCAGACACACCCAAATACCCGAGGAGGAAGCGGAAACAGAGACATGTTGGGGAACAAGACACTAAAAGGAGAACGACCATCAAGAATAGACGTGGGCATCCGATTAATTAAGAAACAAGAGGTGAGCATTGCATCACTCCAAAAGGGTTTGGGAACATTCATTTGGTGCATGAGTGAGCGTGCCGTTTCTACAAGATGTCGGTTATTTCTCTCAGCAACCCCATTTTGTTGTGGGGTGTAGGTACATGAAGTTTGGTGTATAATGCCATGTTGGCCCAAGTATTCTTGAAAAGATGAAGACAAGTATTCACGGCCATTATCAAAATGGAAAATTTTGATGTGAACGCCAAATTGATTGCGGATCTCAACATAAAATTTCTGGAAGATGGCAAATAATTCACTTCTTTCTTTCATTAAATAGAGCCATGTCATTCTTGAAAAGTCATCAACAAAAATAACAAAATATCTGTATCCATTATATGACATCACTTTATAAGGACCCAAAACATCTGAATGAATTAAAGAAAAAGGACTTGACGCACGGTTATCAACCCTAGAACTAAAGGGAACACGATGGTGTTTCCCAAATTGACATGACTCACAATCTAGAACAGAAAGTTGACTCAATGAAGGGACCAAGGACTTCARCACTTT